TATATATATACAAAAAAGAATAGTAAAATCATTTCTTTTTCAGTGTTTGCTCAATTAAACACAAATATTCTTCGCGAAGTTTTTTTGGTATACACAGCTGAGACTCACCGAAAACGACGAAAGACAATGGTGATAATTATAGCTCAAAATTTCATCTAGCGGAGATTTGATGAAATTAACTAACAATAAGTATTAAGACAACGAGTGAATGGCTTTTAAATCAAGTACAGATTAATAGATTAATATAGAAGCAGCGGAAAAGAGAAGGATAGTGAAGGACAGTGTGTAAGAAGGATTTTATGCATTACCTCCAGCAATAGCAGCAGTCTTTGATCCAATTTTACTCTTCTTCCCTGCTAAGAAAGAATTGAAAAATTAACAGATAATTCAATCTTATCATATTTAACTATACACGTCTATATTAGTTTTCGATTAACGCGGAATCTTAACAGAGGCTTACTTGGCAGGCTAAAGGGTGCGGATTCAAAAGGGTCTTCTGGTAACTCTGTATACGTCATGACAAGGCTTTCGCGACTTTTCACCCCACTGATACTCGTATTGCTCCCTCTTCTTATTTTGTCGAACTCAGCACCAAAAATATGATCTTCTGTTAACTGATTAAAAGGCTGTACATCTTCAAACGGATTCCACGCGGCTACATCTGCGCTCAATGATCTTCCTTCTGATCCCATTAGGCTTGAAAGTTCACCCTGATAAAAATGTAGGCAAGTTTTTAAGCATTAACTTCCAAGTTACTTGAAAATAAGAGAGTATTATTAATGAGATATAGTGCAGTGCATAAAATAATAATATATAATTGAAAATATAAAAAACGAAATTCAGAATATAAATATAAAAATAAAACAAAATTTTTAATTTCTTATAAGAAATTTTTGTAATTTTTTTGGCGTGACTCATCGCTTTCGACATCTGTATAAGAGACTTCTTTTTTCATATAATGTTAAACATAATTTAAAATTATATAATAAACTCGTCAAAAAATCAATAAAGAAACATGATTCATATTTTGTAAGCGAGTCAATGTCTTTAACAAAAATAAAAAGAAAATTGTGCGCTTCGTGTACTTACAACACGTACATGCGAGGCACTAGTTGCTATACAAGGCCTTATATCACTTGGAAGTTCTGGAGGTGTAGTCGTATCATTGGAACGTGGCTTGACCGAAGCCTCGTATGGTGCTAAGAATTGTGTGGTTTCAGTAGCAAATGCTCTGTGAACATCGAAATGACCATTGTAATATAAAAATAAAAATTAGCAAAAAAAGAATTGTGTAAACATAGATTCCAACTTCTTCCTCCCCCAAACACCTTGAACGCTAAGAGATTTAAAAGAGATTTAATATTAAGATCTCGCAAATGTTGCAAATTCTTGCAGAAAGCTACGAATATAAAAAAAAATTAATTAGCAAAATAAGCTTACTTGTTAAAAGCACTAGTATCACTGACGTTCCTCCTATGCCGCGAGGACGACGATATCGGGCTGTCAGGTGGCGATGTGCTCGAACTTATATTTTGACTCAAACTCTCAGTTTTATTCACAGGTTTCGGTAAAGCTGGCGGCGTTACTGTAGGTGGAGTCGCCTTGTTAGGCCCTGCAGGAACGGACAATTTCGACGGTAATGACGTGACTGGTGGATACTTGGATGACGATGGGTAACTAGGATTAGATATTTTCGGAAGAACCTTGCCAGGCTTAGGGGCAACAGGAGGTGGTATCTTGGTAGGTGGTGGCATCGCCCTTGCATCGTCTTTAAATGGATCCGGATATCCTGCAAAAATGACCAAAAACGAGAGGGAATTATTAACTCTTAATTTTTTATTATTAATTAATTCTTAAAATTATTATATGTGTCTATTATATGTGTTTTTATGTTATTGTTTCGCAAATTATGTTATACGTTAACTTTTTATTCTAATGTGATATTATTATAGATTCCAAAGCTCCAAAGAGTTTAGATTACCTGACGGTGGAAATAGAGCCTCCAAATTTTTCTCGTTTGCCGTACCTCTCGTATCGTGTTGTTTCGAGTCGAAGTAAAATGCATTCTTATCTTGAACAGTCATAGGCGATTGTTGAGTTACAGGAGAGTGAGTTATCATCGGGCTCTGCGATTGACCGTATTGTGACGACTGTCCCGGCGATTGGCCGAAAGGAACATTTTGATTAGGAGTACAAACGTGTGGTGATACCTAAAAAACCATCAATCGCATTAGTTGAGTATTTATCTAAATCCGCCTACATTCTAAAATGTGATTAAAATACAGTGGCGTGCAAAAGTTTCTGACCAGTGACATTTTGTACTCTAATTTATAAAAAAAAAGCCTAATAAAATTTCATTAACTTTTTTTTATGAATTAGAGTACAAAATGTCACTGGCCGGAAACTTTTGCACGCCACTGTATATTTGTAATGATTTGTTTTCTTACTTGAACATAAGACATAGAATTTCCTGGTGTATTTTGCCCCTGATTTCCTTGGCCTGATATCTGCCCCACAATTTGACCACCCAAACTAATCGGTCCCGTGCTAACAGCTTGTCCCTTTGGTCTTTGTCTCGGCGTCACTGACGTGCCTTCGACTGTCGTCGCCATCGGCACGGATTTGGGAGTCTTCACAGATGACGATTTTTTTACATTCTCGGATTCCATAGGTGGACATGGTAACGACTCTACAGTCGGCGTCGGAACTTTCTGCAAAGACAAAGCCCGATAAAGTTATTAAAAGGTCGAGTAATTTATAAAAATTTTAGCCAATAATTTATAAGCGTTTTTATGTCATCGTAAAAAGACTTGCTGCATATTAAATAGTTATGTAAATGTTGTACGTACATGTAAGTTTTGCACAGGGCACTCTTTGCCTTGAATTTGAAAAGCAACCACGGAAACTTGATAAATATCTGGGCGTACGTCGGGATCTGGCTCGAGCATGTATCGGATCAAGCAATGGAGAGCTTTGCTGTATCTAGAACATAAAAAGATTTTATATATTTATTTAGCCATATATTTGCTATCATGTCTCCATCATCTTGTTGGATTACTAAATGGCTCATAACTCGAGCCATAAAAATTTACGTCAGTTATGTGACTTTTCACATACCTTGAATTATCTGGAATAGTGAAATTTCCAGATTGTATAGCAAGCGTACTTTCGCCAAACGGTAACGTAAAAAAGCAAAGTTTATATAGCAGACACCCCAAAGCCTGGAAAACAAGAATTCAATGTAAAAAGACCTCCAATACCGGTGAGATTTGTCTTCCGACTTGATCTATATCGCGATTATGTGACACAAATACGCTACCCATATATCTGCTTTTGTAGTAATAGGTTTTCCACAGTACATATCAACCATTTCGGGCGCTCTGTAGCTTAGAGTGGTATATTTCTTGATTTCCTCCTCGACCACTGCGGCGCCGTGGACACTGGGATTAAGAACTTTTCCCGTCGCGGACCCGAAGTCACATAGAACATAATTACCGCTGTCGGCGAGCAGTATATTTTCCACCTATTGCAAAGCAATTAAATATAGTTCAATGTGTGTACAATAACGTTACATAATGTCCATTAAATAACTCACCTTGAGATCTCTATGAATTATGGGAGTTTGACAATGATGCAACCGAGACACGGCTTCGCAAACGTCACAAAAAATTTGTAGAACTTCTGATTCACTGAAACCTGTTTGCAGCCTGGAAATTGTTAACACATGCCATAAATTTCAATACATTAGGTCAGTGCGCAAGATAATGTTAATTTGTACATAAATTATGACACAAAGTAATATTTCGCAATTATTCAAATTATAATTCCAATAACAAAAGTGCAATCTTGCAATCTTGCAATCTTGCAATTACAGAACTATAACTCTAAAGTTTCATAAGTGTAAATTATGAATGTTAATAGGTAAAAAAGTGTTATAAAATCACTGCCAACCTGTTATTCATCATTTGAAGAACGTGGGATTTACAATAAGGCATTAACAGTAGAAGTTCGTGTACTCCTCCACCGGTGTGAGTTATGCTACTATCTACATATCCTATGATATTTTTATGTCCACTCAAGTTGCTCTGAAAATAGAAATACTTTATTTAACCTCTTCTACACTTTCTATACAAATGAAATATTATGTCACAAAATTAATCATCTTATTTCAAAATTGCTGTTTTTAATAGCTGCTTTTTATTGGTTTTTGGAAACCAATAAAAAAGAACTCATAACTATTTAAGATAGTAAACTGTTAGTAACTGTTTAAGATTTGTGTTCTCGTTAATTTACAATTAATTAAGATCAGAAATAAAGTGATTAATTTTGTGACACAGATTTTTGTGATACAAGAAGGAATTTAGATTACTAGTGCTTTATTATATATAATTGTTGTAAAATTACTCACAGCAATTTGTATCTCTCTTTTGCATACATTAAGATCATGTTCATTATTGACATACATTCGTTTAAGCGCATATCGTCCACCTGAGGCTTTGACCAAAAACACAATCGCAAATCCTCCTGTAAAACAACAATCGCAATGTGAAACAAGAATATATCATGCAAATGTTTGTTGACACACCTTAATAATTTCTATTTAAATCAAATTACAACAAATATGCAATCAAAATTGAAGACTGCAAGATTGAAAGCTGTGAAACATTCTGTACATTGTAACCTGATACAGATTCAGTTACAACTATTAATCATCAACGCAAAAAGATACAATATATTCTAGCGTTCGCACTTTATCTCAAAATATATATGTGTATTTGCTGATTGGACAATCAATTCCTTTCCATCAGCTCTGACACATGTAATGTGTAAGTCTATTAATATCCTACAACAACACGAATTGTATTTGAGAAGTTTAGAGCAAACCACGTAACATTGGCTGTTTGAAAATAAATAACTATTCACTCTGAAGATACAAAGTCTTATTTTTAGTTCTTTACTTATTTACTAGTTCTTCAATTTGGAATGCATTCAACAACAAATTCACAGGAGCTAATGAGCCTAATAAAGTCCAGTAATACCGCCCCGGATGTAGGCAGAATGTTACCACCGCTTATCAGTGTCGCGAGTTTCGCGCACCTCCGTGCGTGCGACCGCACAATCGACGCACAAACGGTATATCGGTCACGTAGAACGACAATTTTGCGGGTAAGAAACGCGCGGGCGGCCGTTTGAACGCGAGGGAAAAAAGCGGGACGGCCCAGGTGGGGGAGGGAGGGTAGCGCGCGGCAAGGTTGGAATGCGGGATAAAGCGGGATTTAATGGCACGTCTTTTTCAGGAACCAAATATTCTCCGGTGAAACGCGGGAGGAGATGACGCAGATATTAGCAAGGGACAGCGCTATATATACCTTCCGCCAAGACCTCCTCCACGGTGACCGCGTGGCGGCCCACCACGAACACCTTCCCCAGGTAACTGTTGGGCTCCTTCGACGTGTTGTCGATCTTCGAAAACAGCTTCTTCATGTTGGCGCGCTACGCTCCACCTCGTCGTCGTAGTCGTAGACTTGACATAGAGCCCTCCGCGCTCCTCTGCCGATTGCCGCCCCCGCGGGAACGGCACGGTACGGTACGGTGTGAGGTGTACACGGCGGCACGGCCGATCTGGCGCGGTGCTCTCTCGGCGCGACTGGACCTCTCTCTCCTCCGCCACCACCGAGGAAGAGAGCTGATGCACGGCGGCGGGGGGTTAACGTTGCGCGGCAACGCGGCCTCGTCGCGCGTCGAATCGACCCCGACCGTAACTCTAACCGAACGAGATCGCCACGGCGGTAGTCATGATAACAGTCGTTAGCGTATCGCGCATCACGTATCCGCCGCTCCGTACGGCCTCGGTCGACATATTCAGGCCGCGACCGACTGCGCAGTCGCGCCTCCGCAGCGGCGACGTCGGAAACATATGTGCCGTACTTCCGGCCGAATGTCAAACTGTCCGTTGGCGGCAGTAAGCTATATCGATAGTTAGTGGCGAGGCGGCCGGTTGCTCAACGATGCCAGATTTGAGACGCAAACAGCAAGCAACATGAGAGAGAAAAAGAAATCTTTAGAAAAAAAACATCTTAAAAAAGACGCCGTTTTTTAATTTCTTTAGCGAGTAATTTGAACTTTTCCGCATGCTTATTTTCGCTTCTGGGCTACTTCTGACAGTGTTAGAATGCTCGTGAAATACTTAAATAATTAAAACGTTCTTTTAAAATGTTTGCAAAATTTAGAATGCCAATCGTTAAAGAAATTAAAAAACAACGTCTTTTTTAGGATATTTTTAGGACATCTCAAAGATGCCTTTTTTAAGAGTAGTTCACATGTATGTGACATGCGCATGTGTGCGGTATTCCCTCTCTCATGCTGCTTGCATCTCAAATCTGGCGTTACCGCGGTTGCTGTGGCGCTGCGACGCAACGTGCGAGCGTATCAACGTATTATGGTCAGTTTCCCCTTCCCGCTTATTAAATAATAAATTTAAAAACAGTCAGATCGAGAACATCGCCTCATGTTAACTGGTACGTAAGTTCGTCCGTACGAACATGTTTAATACAGTTTATAACATTTGATTTATTTCGCCGTAGCGATCGAGAAAAATCCCTTCATTCACATGGTTTTAATATGTAAGTATTTTATTTATATCGGACGCATGCTGTCAACATGTGTATTGTATCATTTGATTTATTATGAATTTGATTTACACAGAAACAAGCGTGCACCTTTGTTTATCATGATGAGTGATTCCGACGACTCTGACATTTTGGCTGATATCCAGGCCTTGGATCGAGTTCTGACCACGACTTCACAGGAAAATGTACAATATCCTAGTAGCAGTAAAGTGCAATTTGATAATGTTTACTCGACAGAGATTGATTCGGATGTTGAGAGCGACAACTTCTCCAACTTTGTTAAAGAGAATTGTGATGCCAACATAAACTCTCTTAACGCTTTTGAAATTAACATGAAATTGATAACAGGTTTGACGATAGTCAAGAACAAATTTAGTGTCATGCTGCGACAGTGTGAAGAAAAGATAAAGCAATTAGACCAAGAGCTAGAAAACAGCAGTAAAGAAAGCAATAGATGTTCTAAATTGCCAATCAGCCATGCTGGTATGCCATATTTCAAGGACAAGGATTACTTTTATGTTCCTAAAAATTCTGACACAATATTAAAAGAAGCACGTGGTGAATTATTTGTTGTATATATGCAGAAACCAAGTCGTTGGTCAGATAAGGATAGACAAACTCTTCTAAGGGCTGTGCATAATGAAGCATTCGAATCAGTTCTATCCAGAGGATTTGACAAACAAGTAGATAGTAGAAAGTCCAAACGTAAAGAAAACAACCAAGCTGAGGAAGCCAAGTTGGTGCTTCCCAGAAATTTTAATGAAATGGTAGGAGCATTAGGCGAGAGAGAATTTGACTGGCTTAAAATTTCGAATGTGGATTTTGATAATAAACATTCCGCGGGTGAATGTCGGGCTATGTGGAACGTCTACCTGCATCCGGATATCAGGAAAACCGAATGGACAGCCGCGGAGGACAAGAAACTGATAAAATATGCTAAGTTATGTAAATATCAAGATTGGGACACTATCACGCAGAAACTGGGAACGAATCGCAGCGCTTACCAATGTTTCATTAGATATAATACTATCAAGGCAGTGCCATCCTCCGGACTTACCTGGACGAAGCAGGAAGACAAGCATCTCCTAAGAGTCATAGAGACACTCAGGGTCGGAAATTACATCCCTTGGTTTGAAGTTGCAAATTACTTGCGGCACAGAACTAAGCAGCAAATTTACACACGATGGATATACAGGACAGCGCCGCATTTGAAGAAGGGTAGATTTACCTTAGCGGAAACGCAGCAACTTTTTTGTGCAATAAAAAAGTACGGCAAGGACTTTCGTAAAATCGCGCACGTTGTGATGCCGAATCGAACTTCCTCACAACTCATCAATCGTTACAACACAATAATCACGAAGGCGAATGGCAGGAATTTATGGACAGCGGAGACCGACATGCAATTGATTCAGCTGCACAAAAAGCACGGTAACAACTGGTCCTATATAGCCAAGTATTTTTCTGGCAAAACAAGAACACAGGTGAGACATCGGTTTAATGCGATACTAAAATACGTGCAGAGAGGTATTTCCATAGACAACATACCTAGAGCATCTGCCCCTAAAAAAGTGCGTTACAAGAAATCTGAACACAGCACCATGTCAGAATATAACAAAAAGATATTAATGGAAAAACTTCTTGAGAAAGCCAAGCATCGTACTGTAGACACTAATGATATTGAGCCGAGACTGTACGAAACTCTTGTGTTTCCACCTTCGTCGGAATCCGCTACTCAGGAAGAACCTTATAACTTTAAATTACTTGCACGTGAAACTAGAAAGTTATACAATACATTGGAATTATTAGGCGCTAAGCTTGATATTCCTATGGATTTTCTAAATTATATGCACCTAAATAAAAGAGACAAAGAACTCGTGACTTCTTTAAAAGAATATATAAAT